TCTTTGGATAACATCAGGCTAGATTAGGCACATTTACAATCCAGCTGAAATGTGTGATTGGCAAGCCAAGATCCTGGATGTAAAAATGCAACAGAAACTTCAGAACTGGGCTCAGCTGATATTTATATTTACTGCTCAACCATCGTGGGAATGGTTAATCTTGAGAAAAGTTTAGGCACAAAATTAAATCCTTAATGGCAGAAGCATGCATATGTGTATTTATGGAATATCGAAATGCATCTATGGGATACCACTCAGAGTATTTAGTAGCATTGTTGCGCTAAGATATTCTTAATATTCTTTTTTCTTCTTCCAATATTGCTGAATTAGAAGGAGGGATGAAGAAATATATTACCCTGGAGTGTTGGGAAGAGCAAGTGTTAAGCCATGTAAAAACCAGCTAATTTTGTAAAAGAGTGACCCTAATCAAGACAGGATGGTGCCACAGGCCCACGTGGCACCATCAATAAGATTAATTTTGTGCACACCAATCCCAGTGAAAGTTCTTGAATGTCAAATTCTTCTTAATTGAAATGTGTTTGGCTGAGAGAGAGAGATGGGGTGACACTGACCCAAGTGTCTTCTGTTAAGGTTTAAATTTTAACATATGTGTTGCAAACTTGTAATGCATACAGGGATTAAATAGTAAAAATATAAATATCATAGAAAGCACATGATAATCCAGTGGGTTTGGGCTCTTTATTAGGCTTTGTTTTCTTCATCTCAGCATGTGTCTGGGTGTGGGGGAAGACAGAGAGACAATCTTTCCTTTCGTACGTGGAGAGCCCTCTGAAGGCAGAAGCAGCACTCCTGGTCTGCAGCACGGCCCCAAGGAAGCTCTCCTGCCTTCCTGGGCTCTGGAAAGGCTGTCACTGCCAAGCAGTATGGAATTCATCCTGATTTTCTCCAAAAACTGCCTGCAGGGTTGCCAGTCGAGGTACTGGGGAGACAGCTTCATGAGCCTGCTTGGCTGCTAAATGAAAAAAATGAATTTTAGCTCCAATTTCATTTATGTCAGTATGAAAGATACTGAAACTGGGATTTTGTTTGTTTGTTATTGTTTGGTTTTTTCTTAATTAAAGGACCTAATGAATTGGGGCAGAAGACATAGTGAAATGCAAAAATAATACTTATGTCTTGCACTTTAATGGCATGGCTGATTTCTGATCACGTTTTATATTGAATATTTTATTTGGGGCAACATACAAATTGAGTAGTGCTGTTCCCAGTTGTGTGAGCTTTATGATTTGATACACACTTTTAATTACAATTTTTTTCCCTTTGATCATGCCAGCATAAACCCATGTGAACTTAACTCCAAACCACATTGGGGACTATGAACACAAAGAATATTGTCTCTGTTTTAATTTTGCATTTTAATTACTTCCCTGCCTTGAATTAATTTGTTTAGTTGATGAATTGGAAAGATAAAGCTTTTTTTGATAATTAGGCTTTGCAACCAACAGCTAATATTTATATTTTTGGGGAAAAAACCTAACAGAAATGCCCCAACCTGTTATGGATTGCTTGAAATTGTCACATATTTTTCTTTTGATCACCTTCTTCTGCTGGACAACACAATATGGCAGGTGTCTGATGTTTCTAGTTGGTTAGCTGGGTTTTGTCCTCCTGTGCTGATGAGTAAAGTTAGGCTAGGTCTCAAATAATTTGTTTGCATGTATTTTGTGGAGATGGCAGAGAGAAGCTTCTGTTTTCCTTGGAGCTTTAGACATTGGAGGGTTTTTCATCCCAAGTGCTTTAGCCTGTGACTTGGTTTCCTCTGTGACATTTGCAGCTCCTCTATCATCCTGCTTCAGAGCTTTATTTGCAGGAGACCACAAAGGAAGAGCTTATTGCAGGAAGAACTTTCTCAGCTGACTGTCTCTAGAGAAGGAGAGAAATTCAGGAATGTGAATGAATGTGGAGAGGCAGTGCCTGCCTCTTCTGCTTAGGACCTGCCAGAAGATTTGGTCCTTTGCTGCAGTTTGGGACTCTGTACCTGGTGACAAAACGCACTGAATAGTTGTGGCAGGGAGATACCATGGGAGCATAGGACAGACAGCTGTGCTCAGCTGCATTTCAGCAGCAAATTGCCTCAGAGTTGAGAGTTGGCTTTTTGGCCACATGACTGATTTAAGACTGAACATGGGTTTGGAGCCTGTGTGCTCCAAATGCAGAGTCTGACCACCTGCATATCCTGGTTGGCTTTGCTGCACCCTCAGCCCCTCCTTTCCAAGCAGACTGTTGTTTTTATTAGGCTTTTGCTTGAGAAAGGAAACAGGATGATTGGACTGTGTATTGGCTGTATAGAACCATTTTTCAGTTCTTGTTCCATTATTACAACTGTTTACATTAATTGAAGTTTTAATAAAAGCCCAAGCAATTCACACAGCAGGTGCTCTCTGAGGCTAGGCACAGTCTGAGATCATCACAGCTTTCACAGGCAATCCTGCAGCTTTTTTATTTTTCCCTGCTGCTGTGTTTACTTTGTTTCCTACAGGTGCTCAGAGAGAAATAATTGTGTGTTTTCTTTCTCATTTACCTTGTTGGTGAAGGGACTGTACCCCATTCTGATCATTCCAGCACTTCTGTGGTCAGTCCCTCCCCAGACCATTGTGGTGAGAGCAGTGTAATGTGCTTTTCTAACTGCTGGCTCACTGATGGCTTGCTGTAGTCGACTTTCTCTGCCCTGCTATTCATTCCACCCATAATTCCATCAATTTTTCCAGCTCCCCTTTATAAATTAGATGCTGACTGACGCAGACTTCTCAAACCCTTTTTTCTTCTGCCCTGTGAGACTTTGAACACTAATCAGTATAAAACATTTGACAAGAGTTTTCTTTTTAAGTGCTCCTTTCTACCAGAGTATCACACAATAGCCATTAGACAACGTGTCATATTCCCTTGAATATGGGGAGGGAGAAACAAAAGTGAGGCATGGGCAGGTATCTGGAATTCTCAGAAAACAGAGTGGTCCCTAGGGCTCAAGACCTTTGCCAGCACTTGACCACAGGGGTTTGCATCCTATTGAGCCCTACATTTCTTTCTTTCTCTGCACAAAGGCTTCCTGAGGAACCCTGAAGGATCTGGATCTGTGTGTGGGATTCCTGACTCTTTATATTGCATTAAACTGTAGGGTGTCCCTGAGTCTGCATTCCCATCACTTACCAGATAGCAGTCACTTTTTGGTTACCCTACATCAGTCTCAGAAAGCTCAGTGCCACCATTTCAGTGTCCTTAATTATTTATCTATGTATTTAGCTGTGCTACCTTGTCCCTGGGGATATCAGCAGACTCAGAGGATGTGCTCCAGCACTGAAGCTGCCAAACACTGGGAGATGGTAGGCAGGAACAGTCTTGTAACTGTCCTGATACTGACAGCATATGAAATAATGTGACTTAATGAAAATAATTATCCTCCTTTAATAGCATCTTCATACTGCAGGGAGACATGAAGATGGCTTTCTCAAAGATCAGGGTGACTTTTAGGACCAAAATCTTCATTTATGTGCATTTACTTCCATTATTTTTTTCTAAAAGAAAAAAAAAGGGAAATGAGCACTAATGAGACTTTATAAGTCCCATGTACTGAAGGTTTGGTCTGCATGCAGTTTTTCTTCTGGCACAAAAGGTCTTCCTGATGATGATCTTTAAATCTTCTCCTCCATCTCACTTCTTCCTGGTGAAACGTTGTTTGAATGAAATTGCTCTGGTATAATTCAATTTCCTTCTCATCTTGTAATTAGTCTACAATAGTGCTGTGATTGCATCAATACTCAGAGGTGTGAATAAAGCAATTTTTCTATGCACAGGCAGGCTCTAAAACATATATTTCCCCTAACATTTAATATCATTGAAAACCCTGTTGGTGCTTTGAGAATATTAAAGGAAGCTAGATTAATTATTTTGCCTTTAACATAGTCCTACTCTCTTTCCTTGTATGCCATGAAAAAGGGCAGCTGATGTTAATAAAATCCTTCTATCTCAGCTTTTAAATTACTTATTTTTTCTTTTTCACTTCAAGTCCTGAATATGTGAAAAAGTTTTAGGTCCTCCAAACCAAATTCCAGTTAATGCCACTCTAAAGGAGCTGAGATTCTTCAGTGCTATAATAAATAAAAAAATATTATTGTAGTGGTAGAAGTGAGTGAAATAGTCCAAATGTTACAAATATACCCTGAACTCTCTGTTTTTCTGGTAAAAAATTATTTCTTTGGATCATGTTTTTACTTAGTGGGCTGTATGCAGGCAGAAGGGCTCATGAGAAATACATTTTCTGCACATCAAGGTTATGCTTGAGTGATGTATTTTGCATTCAGGGAGTATTTGAAAGTTGAGGTTATCTGAATTGCAGCCTTGGTGTAATACTTTGAGAGGAGCAGGTTTTTTTAAGAGAACTGACCATGGACTTAATTTATTCTTTTTTAAAGAATAACTGAGACTATTTTTGAACAAGCTAATTTGCATTCCTATCTCTTCCCCCAGGATTTATGCCCCATGAAACTTTTGCTTAATAGATATCCAATATTGTCTTCACAGTGTAAGGTTTAGCATGTTTGGATGCAATACTGGAGATTTGAATATTTTTATCATGTATAACTATCCTTGTGGCAAATCTGCGCAGAGTTTTGAAATAAAAGGAATACATTCCGATATACAACAGAATAAGCTAATGGATAAGTTGTGTGGTTTCATGCAGGTTCTTTCAAATGTTTTTTAGGGTGATTTTTAATGATATGGGGGCTTTATTTCCTTTTCTTCTCATTTCTGACTGATACTGGTATGGTTTCAGCTGCTGCTTGAGGCAGCATATGGATCTGTAGGTCTTTGCTCTCTGTAGGTCAAAGCTGCAGCTTTGCTTTCCATTTCTGTTGAATAAATCACTTTAAGAGGCCTGAGGTTCAGAGAAAGTGCACAGCTACAATGTAGGCTAGCTTTTGTTTGCTTGTTTGCTTGTTCTCTGTTAAATTGCTTCATTTTTTTTCCTTTTTCAAACACAGTTTTTGGTCTGGTGTGCCCAGTCTGTGTCCTTGTGCCGCACTTTGTGGGCTGATCATCCACCCCTGCACCTCTGCTCTCCCACACACCTCTGCACTCCAGCTCCTCTGCTGCTCCACCTGGCAGTGCTCCCTGCCATGAAAATGGATAACTGTCTGACACAAAGGAGAAGGGAATACTGTGTTTCAGTGAAGGTGGATTATTGAATGTATCGTGGTGTCACGAACTTGCCGTCTCTGATGCTGCGTTTTTGGAGCATATGGGAAAAGCAGCATAGCAACATAGCTGCTACTCCTAATTATATAGTATAAATGTCAAGCTTGTTCAAAATTCAAGGATTACACACTGCCAGAAGAAACTCTCTTCTGTAGACTGAAGCTTTTTGGCAAGAGGGTCTGAAGGAAGAAACACTAACTGTGATCTCATCAGCCTATTTCTCAAATAGCAGGGAGATGGACAGAAAAAGGCATTTTTACAATGTCCCTGCCAAAGGACGAGATAATTTCTTGCTTTCAGCTCTAAAAACTTCCAAGATACACAATGTTTCAACTATATTCAAATTTAAATATTAAGTTTAGAAAAGTTAACGAATACTGATTGCACGTTTAAGCATTAAAAATGTTATAAAGCCCATTTAGATTCACAGATGGGTGTAACCAGCTGACATTTTGGTTGCTGTAATGTAAAAAAAAAAAAAGACATAAATTATTCTCTGAGCATTTAGCAAATAGTTCTAAATTACTGCTGGAAAGATTGAATAAGTATTATTCTTTTAATTTTACTAGAATTCCTAAAAAAAAAAATATACAATACCTATAGTAAAAAGCTATCCAATGATCTTATTAGACACAAACTAATGCATTAGAAAGGAAACAGTCTGACCTCTATTGCACAGGAAGGAATTGAAAGTGATGTTTATGCCAGTTATTTGGTCAATGTTTGGCAAAGCTGATCTCCTGTTAAGTGAGGTCCCAGAGACTTCTTTTTGCTTCTTGTAGAATAGGTAATAAATGAAAAGACAGGTAAGGGTTTGTGTTAATCCATATTGATTCTAAACAGCTTTCAAGTTATTCAGAATCAGCTTAGTAATTTCCAAAGTGATTGTTTTATAGTGACAAATCATATGGAAGCACTAAGAAATCTGTTTGGTTTTTTATTTAAAAACTCCAGATCATAGATGCTTTCATGCAGTTGTAACTAAAAAAAATTACCTACACAAACATTTTACAGAAAACCCTCCAGAATTTTAAGGGACTTAAACAATATTTTTCATTATATATAAATGGTTAAGGAAATCCCCACAAGACCTTTTAAATTTATTACCTAATATGGCTTGATTTAAAACCAGCAAAAGATATAAGTCAAATTTCTGAATTGGCCAAGTTGCAGATAACACACATATGATGTATGTAGAATTGGCAAAGGCTCATCTTGATGAAGAGTGCTGTAAATTACTTTTGATAAAAAAAATCAGCAAAGGAAGTGAAAAATCATTACTAGCAGAACAAGAACAATAAAACATTAATGCTCTGTGTAAAGATTGATGGATAGTTGAGAAGTTGATTTGTTAAAGTCCCTGGCACCATAGGGCATGAGTTTATTAAGACTATGAAAGAGGCAGAGTAAAAAATGAGATCATGCTTTAATTAACAGAAATGAAAGATAAACAGTACAATGCTTGTAGGACTTTTTAATGAAATTTTAGTTTGAGAGTAACTGTGTGTGAAAAAAATTCCAAGAATTTGACCGCTTGAAAACCAACCTTCCCATTCTGATTTGTCTGAGGAGGTGAAGACACTTAATAATGGGTGGATATTTATGATAATTTAAATGTATTTCTGCTGGGTTTGACTGGGAGAAGTTAATTTTGTTCACAGTGGCCAGTATGGAGCTGTGTTTTGGGTTTGTGCCAAAGACAGTGTTGATAACGTAGGGATGTTTCCATTACTCCCAGAGCCAAGGCCTCTTCTGCTGCTCACCCCATCAACAAGAAGGTTGGGAGGGCACAAGGGGCTGGGAGGGGACACAGCCAGGACAGCTGATCCCAGCTGATCCAAGGGATATTCCATGAGATATCAGCTCAGCACATAAAGCTGGGCAAGAAGAAGGAAAGAGGGATGCTCAGAGTGGTGGAATTTTGTCTTCCAAAGTAACCACTGTGCTGATGGAGCCCTGCTTTCCTGGAGATGGCTGAAGAGCTGCCTGCCCAGGGGAAAGGGTGAATTAATTCCTCATTTTGCTTTGCTTGCACATGGGGCTTTTGCTTTACCTATTAAACTGTCTTTATCTCTTTCACTCATTAAATTATCTCAACCTGTAATTTCCTCACCTTTCCAATTCTCTTCCCCATTCCACCAGGAGGAAGTGAGCAAGCAACTGAGTGGTGCTTAATTGCTGACTGGTGTTAAACAATGACAAGAAGGAAATGGATAGAAAATCAATGCATTTCCTTGCAACCATTTTTTTTTCTATAAGATTTGTCATTTTCATATACTAATGTGCATTACATGTAGTACCTTACAGGAATAAATAAATTCTCAGCTCCAGAGGGAGGAGCTATGACTGGTGCAAAAATAGAGAGGAAAATTAGGGCCCCAGATCTGGAAATTGGTGATTGCTATGGTCATGCCTTCACATCTATTTCTACACAGGTACCCTATAAATTGTGTTACCTCATTGAGGTGTCCTGACCACCCCTCTGTTACACAAATTGCCAATAGCTTTATATGCTCAGGAAAGATCTAAAAGGCCCAACAATTCCAGTGAAAAAAATTGGCTAAAAGTTAGGGATCAGTTGACTGGACCTTACGGTCTCAGAAACAGCCATCATATGTTTGACACTAATTGTATTTGACATCCAAGCTGAAAATTCAGAGTAGAAAGCCCAAGGATCTCAGAGGCATAAAATATCTTCTATTTTGAGAGATGAGTCACACAGATAAGAAAGTACAGAGAATGCTGGAGACTACATGTATTTCTGTGTACTGTTTCCACTGTTGATCTAGGATAGGAAACTTTCTTGATAAAAGTTCATGTACAAAATTATACCCTTGGAAGCTGCCAAACTGACAGTCTTCATTCCACTGGCAGAGGTAACATGCATTTCTTATTCTATCTAGCCAATATGCCTATATTTAACTGTTCTAAAAGCACTGAAATAGAGTTTAAGGAAGATATTTTATCTTCTTGCTCATTTATGGTTTACTGCAAGATCCTGAGCTTTTCTGGGAGCTTAAGGGAGTCTTTAACTCCCACTAATTTTGCTCAAAATTTGGTGTAAATAGTTCACAAGAATGCCTCCCATTCTGTGGAGACAAAATGACTCCTTTGTTTCTCCCCATATTTCATTAAATAGTTCAGGATTATAAAATAACTTGAGGCATCTATCAAACAGAGGCTTCCAGGTATCTAATTGTTTAGTTAACTTCCCTCTCAGTAGGCTTATTTTATGTTTGTGAGATTGGATCAGGAAGTAGAGTTACATCTAAAAAAGACTTTCTGTGCCTGGTAGGGGAAAAAATAAAAATAAATCCCTTAGCCTTGGAAACACATCATATTCAGAAGCCAGTTCCCTCTTGGCCTAAGAAGGAGTAGAAATTCTCTCACTTTTCTAAGAATGACAAGACTGTCTCTGGCTGTCATATATGATATAATTATATTTGACTAATTCAGTTCAAACTTCAATATAATTTAGTTATTATTATTGTGTGTTTTTGGGGGGGGGTGTATGTGTTTATACTGAGTGGTATTCAGTATTGTAATTTATCTCCCAAAAGTCATTATGTTCAGTATACAATCACCTTTTACAGCTTGTGGATTACAGGCTTCACTTTCTAAAAAGCTAAGTATTTAAAAAATGTAAGGGTGTGATAAATGTCTTTCATGTTTATCAGACAGTAAACCAACCAAAATGAGATTTGGGGGAGACAGATACAGTGTTTTCCTGGAGAAGGAATGCTCTTATAAATTCTAAATGATAGAATTATAAGAAAAAAATTTGTGGTGCTAACTCTCTATAAATTAGCTTTCTCTATGTGTTGTTATGGAAACTTTGGTATAGTAGTGAAAACAACAACCACATGGGTATAAAGTTTTCAAACCCTTTAATCAGTAGGGAAAATGCAGAAAAAGTTAATCTGGGTCAATACAGCACTCTTGAGTAATGAAAATGTTCATATACAACTCTTTTTTTGCTTGTAACAGTTGTTGTAAGACAGAGACAGTTGAATTGCTGTTATAAACATGATTATCTGAAGATCCAGGGCAGAGAAATCTTGGAGGGAAAATGTTTTTGGACCTCTCTTCTTGGACCTGTACATCAGATGGACAGGTAACAAAACTGCTAAAGGTCCCAGGCTGTTTTGATTATACACTGGTCTCTTACCAGATTAAATGAAATAATGTGAATTCCATATGGGATTAATAATTTTTTCTTCACAAGCTGCTTACCAGATTTCCAGTTGCAACACAATGAGAACTCATAGAACTTGATTGATGGCTCCTCATTCTTCAGCTCTTCCATGCTTGGGCTTGTAATTTTTACTGAGTATTTTGCTTCCAATTTACAGAATCAGTCAACAGAAGAGTTTAAATGCTCTTCTCATGCAAGGAACTAAGTAAAACTGTTTTTCTTACTTGTAACATTTTTTTCTTAAGAAATCCCACATTTTTAATGCTTTGCTCATCCTTCACTGCTTATCACTTAGAAGCATGGAATCATTTAGGTTTGAAAAGACTGAGTCCAACAATTAACCTAACAGTGCCAACTTCACCACTAAAGGATGTCTAAAGTTCCACATCTCCCCAGATTTTAAATACTCCCACAGATGCTGACTCAACATCTTCCCTGGGCAGCCAGTTCTAGCCAATCCTTACAGAGAAGAAATTTCTCATAATATCCAACCTAAACCTTCCCTGGCACAACTTGAGGGATATAATCATACCCCCATATCCTATTGTTTGTTGCTTGTGCCTTTGTATCCCATTCATAGCAAACAGAGATCTGACTAAATTTTTATATCTCTTTTATTCAGGTAGGAGGGGTTGATAAGAAAGAAAAAGACTGTAGTATAGCATCTGTTCTTTTGAGCAAATGGTGCTACCTTGGTGTTACTAACAGCTGTAAGTTTCTGTTTCCTTACAGGACTGGTGGATATCACTGCAAAAAGATAT